GGTGTGTGTGTATAGATGCAGGGCTGATTCATGCATTATACGCAGGTAGGTGTGTGTGTGTGCGTGTGTAGATGGAGGGCTGATTCACGCATTATACGCAGGTAGGGTATGTGTGTGTATGTGTAGATGGAGGATTGAGTAATGCATTATACACAGGTAGGTGTGTGTGTGTGTATAGATGGAAGGCTGATTCATGCATTATACGCAGGTAGGGGTGTGTGTGTGTGTGTAGATCAAGGGCTGATTCATGCATTATACACAGGTAGGTGTGTGCGTGTGTATGTAGATGGAGGGCTGATTCATGCATTATATGCAGGTAGGTGTGTGTGTGTGTATGTGCAGATGGAGGGCTGATTCATGCATTATACGCAGGTAGGTGTGTGTGTATGTGCAGATGGAGGGCTGATTCATGCATTATACACAGGTAGGGGTGTGTGTGTGTGTGTGTGTGTGTGTGTGTGTAGATGGAGGGCTGATTCATGCATTATACGCAGGCAGGTGTGTGTGTGTGTGTAGATGGAAGGCTGATTCATGCATTATAGGAAGGTAGGTGTGTGTGTCTGTGTCAATTTGTGCCCTTAATACCCAAGCTGTTTAAGGGTTAACTGTACTTTGAATTTTTCACTTGTAATTTTAGGGAAAATGAAAAAAGCACTGAAACCTATTAAAGACAGAGATCTAGAAAGAATATCATAAAACTTGATGCTAAGTAATGGGAGGAAAATAAATGCTAAGAACTTTGAGAAATTTACTTTGAACCCTTTATACTTAAGTAACAAAATAAAACAAAAAAACCTACCATTTCCTGAAAAGTGTTAGTTTCTCCAGGAAAGAAAAACTCTCAGATATATATTTCACCGTCTCTAGTTCACAGAGAAAGAAATGAAGAAAAAAGTAAGAGTCTAGTAAAAAAAATCTTTTTGGAAATCCTCTCTTTAAGCCTAAGAGCATACTGGAATGTTATAGGCACATACATCTCAGGAGTGTGAAGCTCCCCCTAGGTTTTTCTGCTGAGGAGCAACAACCAACAAGTAAAAGGGCTGAAGTGAGGAAAAGACTTAGCAGGGGAGGGAGGGAAGGACTCTGGTCCCTACATAGAGAGGCAGCTTCTTATACCCCTTCTTTTCCAAGGGGGGAAAGTGCACCAAGATATTTATGACCTAGATCACTTTTAGAGAAATACTGAATGACCATTACTCATGGGTACACACCTTGACAGGAATGCAAAGCTGAGGTTACCATACAAGCTTCCCTCAGAAAATTACGCACTAAAATATTAGTAAATAATCAAGTATTAGCTTCTTTTAACTAAAAAAACACATATCAAATGGGGAAAACTGACAAATCAGTAAATGGAAAATGTTAAAATTATGTTTTAAAATTAAGCTGGAAAAAAATAAAATAAAATAAAATAAAGCCAGAAGTCAGTATGGTTATCAGTCACCAGCCTAAGTAGAATGTCTTAATGACTTACTGTGTATCTTTACTTTTATAAATTCAGGCTTATCATTATATTAGTTGATACTATTTTAAGCATTATGCCTAAAAAGAATGATAATATGGGAAATCCTCAATCTGTTATTTCACTAGTTTGAAATCTACACCTTCTATTTTATATTTGCTGATCCTGACAGGTCAGAAAGCAGGTAACATCAAGATAACCATGAAATCTAGCATATATAATAGAGAACTGAAGAAGTTATGTCACATGGAAAGGAGAAATGACAATTAAGCAAGTGATCTTGAATGCTATTTGATTTCTGAGAGGAAGCAGGAGAATGCAGAAAATAATTAGCAAATTTATGCAATACGTAAAAGCAGAGACAGAAACACACACAGCAGGTCCAACGAAAGCAGTAACTTCAGCTGTTAACCAGAGAGTAGCACTCAACCTGCAAGTACAGAAGCTGACAGCAAGTATACTTTTAGGAATTTATGTACAGGAATGAAAGCACTGGATACAGCTGAAAGAAACGGTACCAACTGTGAATATTACATCCATTCTTTGGGTATCATTTGGCCCCTTCCCCCTGAAGTCTACAGGGATTTCAGAGTACATTTGAGTCAAAGTACAGGTCCACAGTCGAGCAATTTACTATTTATGACAATAAGGCATGTTGAGGCATGATATCAAAGTTGAACTGGACGTTCTCTGAAAATTTTTTCTAGTCCTTTGATTCTGTATCTTAATATTATTGAAGCACCACTTCTGGGAAAAATACACATAATTTTAGCGTGACCCAAATTCATTATTTTATAGTTAAACACAGCATAAATCCAGGAAACACTCGTAACATATGGGAGTTATCATCTATAAATGTGTTTGAAAATAATGTAGTGCCATTATTGGCAGAAATTTATAAAACAATGTCATAAACTAAATCATATATCTTTTCCTAGCTATCGTGAAATCAGTTGATGGAAGTTAAGTCTTAATTTTCCAAGATGCTTTATCTTTTGCCATGCTACCATCTTTCTATCTCTGATATATTAGAGATTCTGAGAAAATAGGTGGTTATTACCTTGTGATTCTGGTACAGGGACTGATACACATATTATTCGTTTCACTCTAAAACAGTGAATTGCAGCTGTCTTAAGGCTGATCTTTCACAATGGGTACTGCTACTGCTGCTAAGTCACTTCAGTCGTGCAACCCCATGGACGGCAGCCCACCAGGCTCCCCCATCCCTGGGACTCTCCAGCCAAGAACACTGGAGTGGGTTGCCATTTCCTTCTCCAGCGCATGAAAGTGAAAAGTGAAAGTGAAGTTGCTCACTCATGTCTGACTCTTAGCGACCTCATAGACTGCAGCCTACCAGGCTCCTCTGTCCATGGGATTTTCCAGGCAAGAGTACTGGAGTGGGGTGCCATTGCCTTCTCCCAATGGGTACTAAAGAAGTAAAAACTTCAAATTTATCTATAGAAGATATACTACAGGCTATTCTGCCAGGGAATTAGGATTCGGTGCTTTCACTGTTGTGACCTGGGTTTGACCTATGGTCGGGGAAATAACATCCAGCAAGCTGCATAGCACGACCAAAAAAAAAAAAACCTACAGAAAGGGAAAAAATAAGATGAGCTTTACTTAGTATATGGAGGGACAATTTTCATCCTTCCAATCTGTCTGTTTTGAGAAAAACACATTTGGGATACCAAGCTAGGCCATGAAGATGGTTGATGATATCCTCTATATATTTAGGTTTCAGTAATTTCCACAGTTCTGATTAGCGTCTCAAAATGAAGCTAAATTCTAAGAAAATCTATATGTATAAATTATATGCATGTATATATACAGAAAATGTATGTGTATATGCTTATTATGTATATATGTGTGCATACATATAACCTACATAGCTCTGAAAAAACACATCTGGGTATCCATAATTATAAAAATTCCTTATCCAATAATGCATCATTAATTTTTATTAACAATCCAGGATTTGTTTAGCATCATGTTTAACATTTTGAAAGTCAAAACATTAACTTTTTTTTGTTCTCAAGGACAGTACTATTAAAAGAAGACCTCTAACACCAGTAGTTAGTACTTTTTACTTATACAACGACAAACTTTGAAATTTCATTGTGGGACTTAAGTCTTTTTACATTTCTAAAACCTGAGAGTAATTAATGTACATGGAATTCTCATATGCTAGTATATATTTCATATGGTCATGCTGTCTTCATGAAACCATTTGACTGGCGAGCATGTTAATTATGGTTTCAAAAGAAACTCCCTATTTGACTCACCAGGAGAAACTTTTAAGGTCCTTGTCTTATTATTTCTGCTGCTGAGCATGGAATATATTTGTAGATGGAATAATAAAGGAAAAGAGATTTATTTGGGTAATGCCAATATTTATGGCTTTACCTTCTTGTCGAAAATTAGGAGGTCAGTGAAAGAATTACAAATGGATTGAAGATGGGTTTCTTCATACTAAAAATAAACTTTAGTGATAAAAACACGATTTATTCTATAACTTTTGAATAACAGCTTTTTCTCCTCACCTATTTTCCAATTATATAATAAGAATTTGCTTTAAAATTATAATTTAAGGTTTTTCTTTGGTGTAGGAAATAGATTTGCTTTTTATGGAAATAACTGTCCTTTTAAGAACACATATATAATTGAAAATATTGGTAAAATGTAAGAAAAGGTCAAAAGGTTAAAGCATTAAGAGCACCAAAATACAGAATATCAATGTAATAAGATCATGTCAGAGGTAAGCCCTTCTTTTCATCAAAACAATTCTACTAAGTGATCCATATTATATAAAGTTTGGTACCAAATGGCTTATGTTATAGGAAGACTGGAGCATTATCTCAAATGTTAGGAGAAAAAATTTAATATAGTCAAATTAATCACATGAAAAGGCAAGAATACTGATCATGTTGATGGTATTTCTAACATTTGGAAATGTTTTTAAAAAGGAGTATAAATACTACTAAAATTCTGAAAACCATGGTAGAAGCAAAATTAAAGATCAGCAGTAACAAAAAATTAGACAAAAATGACAAAATTGCCAAGCAGCAGAACTGATTCATTAAGATGAAATATATGATAAAAGGCATTAGAATTAGAAATGACTCTTATCCTAAATATTAAAATAAATACCAAAGAATATGAAATATAACTTCTAAAAGATTGAGAGGAAATGAAATAACACAAAGCAGAGAAAATGAAAGACACCTCACTATTCCCAATGTGGTTATTATTTATGGAATGGATAAAACACGTTGTAGAAAATGTCACTACAGTTAGATAAACACATTAAAAAATCAACATGCCACATTTACCTAAATAATTTTGTAAAACAGCTGAAAAAGCAAATTTCATCAAATTTAGACAGCTTATAGTGGAATAAATAAGTATGGTGAGGTATTAACTAACCCTAAGTTTCACAACGGGCAGCTTCTAGCCGGTTCATTGGAGCTGGGTCTCGGCCACACAAGGATCACTGGATAAGAAGTCAGCTGAGCTGGACTAGAGCTGCCCAATTGTCTTAATAATGAATGCTCCACACTGTCTGTTAAGTAAAGAGAAAGAGAATATAGATCAGAGACCCTGAATGAGAAAAAAAAAGATAAGTTAGAACAGATGAGTGTAGAACATCCATGAACATTTAATAAATACTCACAGAACATGTGGTACTAATTATACTATAGTGTTTAAGTAGAGATTAGGAGGGATCCAGAATTCAGGAAAGGTCTGCTCCCTGCTCTCTGAGAGCTTACAATCTACTTCACACAATCTTTAGTCTAGCATTATATTAATAGTATAAATGTTTCATATACGAAAATGAGAAAGAGGTCAACAGAGAAACAAATGAATTACAACATTTCTTCTATTTGGAAAATATTATTAAGTTTTAAAAACATATTTTTAAAACATGAAGTAGGGTTGCCAGAAGTCTATTTAGAAAGTTGTCTAAAACTACCAAAGTACTGTTCAAGTTAGCATTGGTAGAACAGGCACTTAAGATACCTAAGTCATATAACACAGAGTAATTCTGTGTATCTGTGTTATCCTGAGAATCTTTTTGTGTTAATATCAGTTTGGGCCAAAGAAACAACCTAGTTCCTGCTACATTTTTTTGGCACTTTGAGCAAAGGTCTTTTCTTGATTTAGGGAACCAAGTTGTCCTATGACATATTTTTACATTGGGGATAGGCTCAAGTTTCCATATTCCAATTTCTTTAGAGCAGTACTACCTGACTGAAATTTCTATGTTGATGGAAACATTCTGTATCTACACTGTCAAATATGGTAGTCACTAACCACGTGGGGCTATTTAGCACTTCAAATGTGGTTTCAGCAAGTGGTGCTCAGAAAACTGGACAGGAACATGTAAAACAGATTAGAATATTACATCACATCACATACAAAAATAAACTCAAAATGGTTTAAAGATCTAAATGTAAGATATGAAACCCTAAAACTTCTGTTAAGAAAACACAGGTGAAACACTCTTTTATATAAATCACAGCAATATTTTCTTGGATCAGTCCTCTAAAGCAAAATAAAAGCAAAAATAAACAAATAAGGTCTAATTAAAGACTTCTGCACAGCAAAGGAAACCATAAACAAAACAAAAGCACAAACTACAGGATGGGAAGAATATATGGAAAAAATATATTTGTAAACAATGCAGCAGACAAGGGGTTAATATCCAAAATATACAAACAGCTCATATAACTCAATATCAAAAACAGTCTAATCAAAAACGAGTAGAAGACATGAACAGACATTTTTACAAAGAAGGCATACAGATGGCTAATATGTACACGAAAAGATGTTCAGCATCACTAATTATTAGAGAAACAAATCAATATCACAATGAGGTATCAACTAACACTTGTCAGTGAATGGTCATTATCAGCAAGTCTACAAATAAATGTTGGCAAGGGTGTGGAGAAAAGGGAAACTTCCTACACTGTTGGTGGGTTGTAAACTGGTGCAGTCACTATTGAAAACAGTATGGAGGTTCCTTAGGAAACTAAGAATAGAACTACTACATGATCCAGCAATTCTACTCCTGGGTTTGTATCTGGGGGGAAAAAAAAAAGACACTAATTTGAAAAGATAAATGCACCCCAATGTTCATAGCAGCACCATTTACAACAGCCTAAAAACAATCCAAATGCCATTCAATAGAAAACCAGATTAATAAGATGTGAGATATATACATATCTCACATTACTCACACACACAAACACACACAATGGAGTATTATTCAGCCACAAAAAAGAATGAAATATTGCGAGTTGCAGCAACATAGATTGACCTAGAGAATATTATTATGCTTAATGAGATGAGTCAAGACAGAAAAAGACAAACACAATATAATACATCTTATATGTGGAATCTAAAAAAAATACAAATGAATATACAAAACAGAAACAGACTCACAGGCATAGAAAACAAACCTGTGGTTACCAAAGGGGTGAGGGAAGGAAGGACAGATCGGGGTATGGAATTAGCAGATATGAACTTCTGTATGTAAAATAGATAAGCAACAAGGATTTATGGTACAGCACAGTGAATTACAGCTACTATCTTATAATAACCTCTAATGGAAAATCTGCAAAAGTACTGAATCAGTATGCTGTACGCCTGAAACTAACACAGTACTATAAACTAACTATACCTCTATTAAAAAAAAGAAATGTGGCTAGTTGTAACTGAGGAACTGAATTTTAAACTTCATTTAATTTTAATTTAAGATTGAAATTAGAATCTTGTGGCTAGTGGTTACCAGGTTGGGAATACCATGATTCTAGAGGTTCAAACCTGTCTGGTTTGCTAAACTATAGACAGGCCAGGTTTTCTCTGGTCTGTTCAATAGTGTTCAATACCACTTAAAATCATTCACTGCTATATTATCAGTGTCTAGAATATTGGTTAGCACATGACAGATGCTCAACAAATATTTGGTAAATGAATGAAATATACTGTGGTAATATACAGCTATTCATACCTAAGCTACTACTCAGCTTACTGGTAATATGTCCTGGTTCTCTCATAAAAAATAGAGAAGTGAAGTTAAACTGTTCTCTGTATATGGAATTGCTTTATTGAAGGCTCAATATGCCTAGAGAGAACAAGAGTGGTGCTAATTCATTACGGCTCAAAGAAAAAAATGTAAGTAGTTATATATGAATAACACGTTGATAATTATGTGAATATTGAAGGAAGACTATGCAATGGCAAGGAATTTGGTAAGGATACAGATAAGAGTTGATGAGAATGAAAACAGGGAAAAAACCCACCTCAGATAAAAAACTAAATTCAGATTTTATGCATGACTAAAGGTTGGAAACTGAAGTTAGAAAAGCCTTGAATAAATATACAGTAATCTGGTTAGGCAATAATAGGGCTTAGAAAAGGGATGTGGCAGTGGAAAGAGAAATGAGTATATCATTTTTAGCAAGTTAGTGAACTGAAAAAAGGACACGGAAACAGTATAAATAGATCATGTAGCTTAAACAGGTCAGAAAAATAACTGGTATTGTTTTGATTTCAGGGGGTAAGTAAGATGGGCAAACTAACATAAAAGAGGTGAGGATCCTGAAAATAAAATATAAGAAATTATATACTCATGATTTTCAGTTTGAGGAGGTAGTGAACATTCATCCAGGTCGTGGTGTTTTAGAGTTAAAATAGGAAGAGAATCAAAGGATTAGGATCAGAGTCATTTTTAAAAACTACCAAAATGCAGAATAAAATTGAAAACTCCCTTAGAAGACAACTTAGAGGGCAAAGAGAATCATGCCATGCTTAGTTGGTAAAAGAGGAATATATATTTTGTTTTTTGAAAGAGACACTGAAATATCAAACACAGAGCAAAGAGAGCCACATATAAGAATGAGTAAAATCTGAGCACAGGCTAGTTGACAGTACTGAATTAAAGAGAATCTAAGAGGATAAGAACTAAGACAAAATCCTTGAGGTTTGGCTAATAATCAGCAAATCTTGACAGTATATCTTAGATAAGTGCTTTGGCTAGATCTCAGTAATGAAGGAACAGTAATTTCATATGAGTGAAAAAGATACCCCTAGACGCCTCCTTCATGCCTTTCCAAAACAGACAAATTAAAATATTGTTAGTGAAGTGTGGAATACAAAATCTATTGATTATTATTCTGTGTCCTCAGAGTGGGGAAAGATGTTATTAAAAATACTCAGGAAACAATTCTGTAAGGTATTAAGGTTTGATAAGTTGCATCTTATGTTATGAAAAGCAAGATGCTCGTTTTGTTTTTGATGCCATGTTTTACATCTTCATGTTTATCCTTTCACTGTTTAATGTAACTATAAGTTGATTTTTACAATTTTTTGTCTTTTAGTACTAGCTTATTTAATTGGTCGCTCCACAGTGTTTACTATACATTTGCCTTTACTGGTGGACTTTTTCTTTCCTACAGATTCTTACTTCTTGTGGCCCTTTCCACTTAAAAAAGACCCTTTTAACATTCCTTTAAGGTTAGGTTTAGTATTGCTGAATTCTTTTAGTTTTTGGTTGTCTGGAAAATTACGTATCTCTTAGCTCAGTCGGTAAAGACTCTGCCTGCAGTGCAGGAGACCTGGGTTTGATTCCTGGGTCGGGAAGATCCCTGGAAAAGGAAATGTCAACCCACTCCAGTATTCTTGCCTGGACAATCCCATGGACAGAGGAGCCTGGCAGACTACAGTCCATAGGGTCGGAAGAGTGGACATGACTTAGCAACTAACCCCTCCCCTGCATCCTGCTCCCCTTCTATTCCAAATGATAATCTTGCTTGGTTGAGTGTCCTAGGTTGCAGGTTTTCCCCTTTCAGTACTTTGAATATATTATGACACTCCCTTCTGGCCTGCAAAATTTCTGCAGAGAAATCACCTGATAGCCTTATGGGGGTTTCCTTGAACTGACTGTTTTCTTGCTGCCTTTGGAATCATCTCATTATCTTCCACTTTTGCCATTTTAATTATGATATATCTTGGTGTGGGTCTGTTTAGGTTCATTTTATTTGGGATCCTCTGTGGTTCCTGTACCTGGACATCTGTTTCCTTCTTTAGATTTGGTAAGTTTCCAGTCATAATTTCACGTAGTATGCTTTCAACTCCTCTCTCATATCTCCCGATAATGTGAATGTTTTCACACTTGATGTTATCCTAGAGGTCCCTTAAACTGTTCTCATTTTTAAAATTTGTGTTTCTTTTTGCTGTTCAGAAGGAAGGATTTCCATTATTTTACCTTCTAGATCACCTAGGCATCACCTAGTCTGCTGTTAACTCCCTCTAGTTGTTTTTCATTTGTCATATTCAGTTCTGATTCTTTTTCATATTTTCTAGTTCTTTGTTAGAATTGGCCCTGTGCTAATCAGTTAGCATTAACCACGTCTCATAAATTTTCTCTTATCTCTGAGAGGATATTATAGCTTCTTTGATTTTTTTTTTTGCTCCCTGAATTATATGTTTCTTTTGAATTCCTTTTTTTTTCTGTTTGTTTTGGTCTCTCATTCTGAAGGCTTTCTTCTTCATTTATTT